CTTCCACTTGTAACCTACAACTATTTAATAAACATTTCTCTCCCTTTGTGCTTTGTAAATCCCTTGCCTATTCCTGTCCATTCTTGCCTCTTTGCTGAGTCCTTCTCACATATCACAAACAAGCATTTGCACACACCAAGAACTAACATACACTTTCACGTTAACTTCCGCAAAATCCAACGGCCCCGCGACAATGCCATAACATGTCAACTTTTTTGTCGGATGAGCAATTTAATGATATATGCGGTGATAGGTAATAAGGATGAAATGGAGATGACCACCCCCGTGTCCTTAACACCTTGCTCCATCCTCGTATCATGTCTTTGTGGAGAAAGACAAGATAGGGCAATAGGAGATCTCATCCCCATTCAAGCAACTTCCCTAGTCGGGGTGAGCCTAGTTCGGGTTGGGTCGATTTAACACCTAACTTAGGAATCAACCCACACCCGTGGGCCTGGTCCGACTCTAGGGTTAGCTTGGGATCAATCGATTCTTTTTTTTTGTATTTCTTAAAAGGACAAATGCACTCTTTGAAATTACATATCCATCGACAATGCGAGATTAAGCAAACAGAAATCTAAGATAAGACGACAACATAAATCTCCACTTGCCAAAAGCAACTAACCATAGAAAAAGAACACATGAAATAAAAATAAACAATAAAAAGTTCAAAATATGTAACATAAACCATGAATTACACAACTTTGAGATACAGATATTGACCATGAATGATGATCAATCTACATTGCTGAGATTCTGGAGTCTTTGTTGCTGATAATCGACATCGGCGAGGAATAAATGAGTAGGGAGATAGTCGTTGCTAGATCGAGAGAGAGAGAGAGAGAAAGATATCGAGCCGAAGGTTGAGAAGAATCTGAGATTGAGGGAGAGAGTGAGAGTGAGACTCAAAGAGAGGGAGAGGAAAAGGCGAAAGAAGAGGAGGGGCTGGGCATTTTAGGATATATACATAGAGTTTGGAAAAAAAAAATTTACAAGGTTGACCAACCTGCACAGCACAGGTTCCAACGACCCTAAGATAAGAAACCGGCCCGATCCCCATAGAAATCGGACTAATATCGGCTGGTTTGGGCCGATCCAAGGTCGATCCAGGGCAGTCATGGCCACGGGCCGATTTTGGCCCGGAACCGACCTAGTCAAACCCGGGCCCGGCCCGTTGACCGGGCCCGCGGTTCGGAACCGGAATCGGCCCGTGGCCTACGAGCCCGGTTCCGGGCTCGATTCCAAAAAAAATAAAAATAAATAATAATAATAATAAAACCATGCAGCAGGGCCTGCACATCTGCAGGCCCTGCTGCGGCCCGTTGCCAGGGCAGCCTTTGCAGGCTGCCTTGGCAACGGGCAAAAGTAAAAAATAAAAAATAAAATAAAAAAAATTAAAAAGATAACCGTTACAAATTGCAACGGTTATCTAGCTTTTTTTTTTATCCTAAATTTTCTTCTCATTTTTTTCTTATAAATTCTCTAAAATTCTCTAAAATTCTCTCAATACTCTAAATTCTCTCAAATTCTCTTCTCTCAAATTTTCTCAATACTCTAAATTCTCTCAAATTCTCTTAAATTCTCTCAATTTTCTCAATCCGCGCAATTCTCTCTTAATTCTCCCAATCAATCCGCTCAATTCTCTCAATCCACTCGAAAAATGGCAAGTGGAAGTCGAGTGCCAACTGGCAAAGGTAAGAATATCATGACGGAATCCCATCATTCTTTTGATCCTCGTGATTATGCAGATTTTGAAGATGATGAAATCAACATTTTTCCCGATGTGGAGCGCGTCCCGATGCAAGAAAGTCTTCATCCTCCTGCCGAAATATCTACAACAAAGGAGGCGGAGCGAGAACTTACATCTGACATTTGGGATCACTTCACGAAAATGGAAAGGTTTGATATTGGTGAAAAAAGGTATGATATAATTTGTAAATATTGTGGGAAAATATATAAATATACAAGTGAACAAGGATACGGAACATTCAAACGACATCTTAGAAGCAAACATCCAACCCAAGCGGGAATCGATATCAGGCAACAACAAATTTCCGGGTACGTCAATCCTAACACTTCCCCTTTATTTCATTTTAATGAAAAAACTTATAAGGAAGAATTAGATAAATTTGTTTCCGTTGAGCATTTATCATTTAATTTTGGAGAAAGATTTGGTTTTAATCAATTTGTACAAAAAGCATGTGCTCCACAAGCAAAACGTGTTCCTAGAAATTCACTTAAACGAATAATTAAAGATCTTTACAAAAATGGAAAAAAGGATTTACAAAACTTTTTTATGCAATTTAATGGATGCGTGCATATAGGTAGTGATATTTGGAGTAATCATTGGCAAATGCATTCTTACATGGGCATAACATGTCATTGGATAGATGACGATTGGAGTATTCAAAAAAGAGTTATTGCATTTAAAGTTTTCGATGGTAAGCATACGGCAAATAATATTTATAGAATGATTAGGCAAATTTTAGAAGAATATTATTTGCTTAACAAAAATTTTTCAATTGGTTTTGATAATGCCGCGGCAAATACCGCTTCAATTGCCGATTTAGAAAATATTTGTAAACCCGCTTTTGGTGGAAAATTTTTTCACGTTAGATGTGCTTGTCATGTTTTAAATTTATGTGTACAAGATGGTTTGAAAACTCTTGATATTTTTCTTGAACCAATAAAAACGGCGATTCAATTTTTATGGAAACATCCCCAAAAAATGAAAGAATGGGGTAAATTTTGTAGAGAAAATGCCAAAAGGCCAAAAAGATTTTCAAGAGATGTTCCAACTCGTTGGAATTCTACTTTTCACTTTCTTAGTGAATCTTATGAATATAAAGATTTATTATGTGCATTCATTTCTAATAATATACTTCAGATTAATTTATACCCACAAGAGTGGGGTATTTGCAAAAAAAATTTAGATATTTTAAAGGTTTTTAATGATGCAACTTATACTTTATCCGGTGTTTATTATCCTACTACACATTTATTTTTAGTAGAGTGTATTAATATTGTCGGAGTTTTTGAGGAATATGAAAATGATATTGAATTACAACATACTATAGTAACAATGAAAATGAAGTGGCTACATTATTATAGCGAAATTCCCATTATTTATTTAGTTGCTTGTGTTTTTTATCCGCGTTGAAAATTAGATGGTTTAAGTGATTATTTGCATACGTATTATCAATGTTTACATTATGATATGGTAAATGTTACAACCATACTAAGTGAGGTTAAAAACGTAGTAATAGAATTATATAATGAATTTTATACTAAATATAATTTAGGTGATATTGGATCTTCTCAATCTACCGAGACACAAAATGAGAGTACATGTAAAATTAGTAGAGGGTACCAACTTTTATTACATAGACAAAAAAAAAACAAAAGGGAATAATAGGAAATATTTCTGAATTAGAGATTTATCTAACCGTTTCCTTTGAGTTCACTGAATCCGAAGGTAGTACAGGTTTTTTAATTTTGGATTGGTGGAAGAGGCACACAAGCCAATACCCAATCCTTTCTCTTATTGCAAAACAAAATTTTGCAACCTCTTGTTCCACAATTGCGGTCGAACAAGCATTCAGTGTCGGAGGTAATATTTTGGACGAACATCGTTCAAGATTAGCTCCAGAATCAGTGGAGACTCAAGCTTGTGTCGATGATTGAACGAAAGCTCAATACCGACAACAAGAGATAGATCGGAATAATGAATCCGAATTCTTTAACGACGGAGATACCACCAGTACCGATACCGCTACCGGAACCTGAACGGGTAGAGACGATTAAGGATAAAAGAAGTGTTGGAGTTGGCAAATATTTCGGGGACCCTTGTTTCTCATACCGGGCACACCCACTTGAGCTTAGGGAAACCGAAGTATAATCCGACGACATGTGACCCCTGCGCATGGAATGCAGGGGTTCGGATAGGCTTAGGTTTTTGGGTCATTTTAGGGCATATATATTGTGCTCCTTTTTTTTTTTATAGATCATTGTAACGAATTGTAAGGCGCTTAATGATAATTTATTAAGTTCAAGCCCCCTCATTCTCTCTTTTTGTCCCCAAATTTGATTACGATTTACATTTTGATTACAATTTATATTGAATAATTCATTATTTTTTTATTTCATAAATTTTTTTTAAAATTTTAAATTATGAACCGGAACCAGCAGGAACCGGAAGGAACCGGAAGGAACCGGAACCGGAACCGGAATCGGACCGGAACCTGCTCGGAACCGTCCGGTTCCAGTTCATACATGGCCAGGAACCGGCAGTTCCTGAACAGTGGCCATGTCTAATCCAGGGTCAACCCTGGACCAATGCTCACCCCTAGTCCCTAGGGTGAAAATTCGGTTCCCATCCTACGTGGAGCAGGGGCCAGGGCTCGAGCAACCCCGAATGAGCACATTTTTCAAGCGAGTCCTTCTCGGCGGGATTTGCATTTGGTCGATCTCTAATCGATTGCAGAAAAGCAAATTAAGTAGAATAAGGATGAGCACGATTTAGTTTGGTTTGATATGGATAAAAACTTAGCTAAAACTACAATAATATGGTTTGAAAAAGTTCAAAACCAAACTGAACTAAGGATCCGTTTGCTTGAAGGAAATTTATTTCTTGAAAAATTATTTTTCGACTTTCTGGTATTTTGATGATGGAAAACTAATAGACATACTGAAAATGTTTTTCATGAATTGAAAATAACAAGCACAAGAAGGAAATCACCTTTCTTAACAATCGTGAATTGATCAAAGGTTGAAGCTATTATCCAAAGATAGAACTGCATTATAATGTAACAACTATTGCTGCAACACCAACTTACGCATAGTCTCGCATTACGACAGAACTCATAAAAACAGTTCGATTCGGTGCAGTTTGGAAAAAAAATAAATTGAACCAAATTGCCAAATTTCGATCGGGTTCGATTCACAAACCAAAATTTTGAAATTACCAACAATCCATTCTTTTTGATTTGGCGATTTGAATCGAATTATGCTCAAGAGCTTAATTAGAAAAAAACGAAGAAGTTGGATTAGAGGATGAAAGAAAAGCCAAAACCCTAAGAAAAATGTCAGCTTGAATTAAGCTCGACAAGCGCGCCCGGGGCTAAAGGTCTCAACTTTGTCACTCTGGTTAGCTGAAACGTCGAGTTCGAGAGTTTCAATCTGTGCTTCCGGGCTTCCCATTTCTTCGATCCGAGAGAAACTGAGTAAGGCATTCTTCGTGGCTTCACTCTCATCTCTCTCTCTATCAACCTTTCTGCTATATGATTCGTGGTTGCTCGACGGAAGCTGTCGATATCGGCTTGTGCGCTCGATTTTTCTTATCTACTCGGATCGTGCTCTCCATTCTGCAAAGTGGTGTTTCAATTTCGAAAAATTTGATCTGGGAATGGAGTTTTAGGGCCAAAGGTTGAATCTTTTGTTTTGAGAAACGAAACCCAGATGGCTAAATCTTTTTCTCGTATTTTTTTTTCGCGGGGGTCGATAATGCTGGAGAGACCATGTTGGCTCAAATGGATTCATAATTTTTTTTTATCTGGGAAATCTTATTTTTCTCACTGGCATGGGTTCTCGGAGTTGTGGGAAGTTTCGTACATGGTACGTGACTCACATGTGAAGATTGAAAAAATTTTGCCTGACATTGAAGGAGAATGGGTTACTGGGGTTTTTGCTTGTTTAATCTTGATGCATTATGGTCTTAGTGTGTTGGGAAATCTTAGTGCTTTTTTAGAGAGTTTAGTCCTCTTTCGCATCGTTGAAATGTCGACTCAGATTCCATTGGTGTTGGGCTGTTGTCAACTGTGTCGAGGCCGAGTCGATTGCCTAAATTTCCAGTTGGTTGTTACTTGAAATCTCATTGCACCACTTGATTGTCTCATGCTTTAAATTCTTCAGCTGGAGATAATTGATAACTTTGTTGCAGTGCTCATGTTGATTAGCTAGGTATTCGATGAGTTCAGTCTTTATCCTTCTGAACTTTGGAATTTAAAACGTAGACTTAACTGTGCCTTTGCTTGCTATATTACTTTCATAAAAATGATTGAAGCAAGGTTTTAAGGTTCTTCCCTATGCCCTCCTCTTTTTCAATCTAAGAAAAGAAAATTATGGAGTAGTGAAGTTATATGGGATGAACTTGCATGCTCAATGACTTACCAAGTCCCATCATCTCTGAACTGTAAGCTCTGTGTTTATGATTTTCAGCTCGAGTATTTTCTCTGATTTTGTAATTGATTTTCTCACCAAAAACTAGAATTTTTATCTTTCAGCAAAATCAGTGAACTTGTGTTACTGATGGAAGTCCACACTTTGATATCATCTTGTGATCACACAATATTAATGATCTCTCAATAAATTTACCAATACTCTGTTTGTGTTTGCTGTTTGAAATGTTTATACCCATTATATATGTGCTTATTTGACTTTTTAATGTTCTGTTGTAGGTGTGCCCCTGAAGTTCATGGATCATATCAGAAGAAAGCTATGGAGGATCGGGTATCATGCTTGAAATAACAAATTGATTAAGTGGGACTTTATATTTACATATTCTTTTCTTGTTTAGTCGGTGTTTATTTCCTTGGTCTTGTAAATTTTTAGTTGGTGTGCTGTTCTTTTAGTTGTTATTTGGAAGTTTGTCTGATGATTTAAATTAATGGTGTCGGTTTCATTTTGAAAAGATGATATACATATTTAAACTTACTCGATGCATGGAGTATTCAACTACTGAGAGTGTTATTACTAAATCACAATTGTCAAGCTTATGAGCTCAAGCTTGTGTATGGCTTGATGAAACTTGAATCGAGTTGAGTTGTGCTTGGATTATTCAGTTACCTAGTAAAGTTGAGCTGGGATACACACAAAAATACTCGTAAGTTTGGTATGAGTTGAGTGGAGCTTATGTTGAGCTGTATGGGCTTGGTTAGGAGTTAGAATTGTAGTCTGGTTTAAGTGCTCTATATGTATAGAATTAATAGACGGGTGGCCAGGGCCCTTAGAGAGTTTTTGCACTTTTCTTTTCCCAGTTTATGTCATTTAATGCCCGTATGGTGCAGAGGATGGGTAGTCTATCGACACTTACCCGGCTTTGCTAATGTTTAGCTTGTCCTGTCATTTAGCAACGCATTTTGACTATGGAATTGTCTGATGGTGAATAGGATGGGATTGTCTAGAAGAAATTTACTCGGGGAAGCTGTGTGTTGTAGAGTTTCTTCATTTAGTCACTCTCATATTTCCCAGGCTGGATATTCCACTGTAAGACAAAATTTTAATGCCGCAGGTATTATATGCAGCTTATGGGCATTACTAAGTGCTCTCTCCCCTCTCAAGTGATGATTCAATTGTTTTCCTCATTTCTTTAATGTGCATACGGAATTTGCAGGAGGTACTGTAAATCGAATATTTGCTCCATATTGTGTGTATAAGGGGAAAGCTGCACTCTCTCTGTCCCCGGTTCTCCCTACTTTCAGTAAATTGGAGGTATGTCTGTGTTCCTCGTGTTCATTAGACTATATCATGAAAACATGTGGTAACCGCTTTCTGTTTTCACTATATTATCATTTGTATCTATTAGTCTGGTGCTGGTCTTAAGGTCGATAGACATGGTGTCATGATGTTGCGATTTTGGCCTGCTATTGGTGAACGCAAGTACGATTGGGAAAAGCGACAGGTAAGCTTTAGTCCGTTTATCAAGTTCATTTTCAATTATTCTACATGAAGTCTCTTTACAAATGTGCTTGATGATACGAAGAAAGAAATGCGACATGCATGGTATGTCTGACAAGAATTCTGTATTTGTTGCTTTTCTACAGCTTTTTGCTTTGTCAGCCACTGAGATTGGATCCCTCATAAGTTTGGGTCCAAAAGATGCCTGTGAATTCTTTCATGATCCTTCAATGCTGTCCAGGTTATTAGACTGACTTGCTTCTGATAGATCTTTAAATGCTTCGCCTTCCTCTAACTTCATATGGCTTGCCATTTTTTTTTCCTCTGGCTCATTTTATTTTCCCCTATTTCTTTATTTATTTTTTAAATGTTTATTCTACCTAGAGTTTTTACTGTATGTATGCTTGAGTTGCAATAGTCAGGTCTCTTTGTAAATTGGAAGTCATTACCAACTTTTGTGTAGTACATGATGACATTGACAAGAAATGCTTCCTGCAGCAATGCTGGTCAAGTGAGGAAGAGCTTGTCAATTAAGCCTCATGCCGATGGGGGTGGCTACTTCATTTCTCTGAGTAAGTACTGTGTTTTTGTGGTTCTAGAAATGGTAAATTTGCAGCCCTTTAATATTGTGTTTGTTACATTTTGATAACCTTGTTAAGAGCTCATTTGTATGTAGAATACTTTTGTTTCTATTTTTCTATCATGATCTTGTAACAGCTAGTTCTAATTTTAGTTTGGATACCTAACTAATTCTCAACTAGTGCAATGTACTCACCTTTGCGCCCCCTCTCCCTAGTTCCCGGTTCCGCATCTGATGTCAACCTCTTGAATCCACCTTCATATGTAGTGTTTTTCTGTTTCTAGTAATCCACCTTCTGTTATTCTGGCCATACTTATTTTTTTGGTCAACCTCCTAGCCATACTTCATTGCCACAATTTTCTTCTAAAGACCATCATGCTCAGCATTAAAACACCATAGCCATTCTGTACGCTAAAATTCCATAGCAATTTGCCAGATAGAGCCTTATTAAAAAGCAACAAAAATTAGTTCCCTGGCCCCCATTATAGAAAAGTTGCTTGATCGGATAGGTGTTGTTTCCTATTGTTATTTGTAGCTTTTGATGTTTGGAATTTTAAATTTGATTTCACGAAGTAGCTTAGATCTTTAAAAATTGATAATGTGACTATCTATTTATTTTCTTAAGTTGATTGGCATGTGCTTGAATGTGAACTGTCTCACTTGCAGGTGTTACCAACAATATTCTGAAAACGAATGAACGATTTACCGTACCTGTTACAGCTGCTGAATTTGCCGTCATGAAGACAGCGTGTAGTGTATGTCTTCACTTATGATCTCTTTTTTCTTTATGGAAATGGTAATTGCGTTTTATATTTTAGCATCTAGCAATTGACTAACTGATTGTGACAGTAACTAGTTCTATTCCGTGCTATTGTTCTTTTTCATATAACTTCTATTGATTAAGCGTCTACAATGTTTTGGTACATTGCAAACTGTTAATAACAAGGAAAATGGGGAGAAGGAAAGGTGGGGGTGGGGGTGTTTGGAAAAGGAGAGTTTTCTAATTGCCAAATGGGAAACGATAGCAGTCCCTCCATGGTTGATTAATAACATGGCTTGTAAATGATCCTTCCGAAGGCTTTTTTGTTTTAAAACCTAGATCAGAACCTCCTGTAAGCTGCACTAATTTTCTGCTAATGCCTATTACAAGCCCTCTAAAAATAGTTAAAAGTTGCTCAGCCTAAAGGATATTTATGATTGCGTACGGTCAAGACTGGAGAAGCATATTTGTTTTAGTAGCTGCTCTCCTGTCTATATGGGTAAACAGGCCTAGTGGCAGTTTGAAGATTTGAACGAGAGCACCTTTATGTCTTCCAATTGTTCTTTCGTCTTTTCTAGTCTAGGAGCATGTGCTTTATGAGAGTCTGGTTTTGCAGTTTGTTTTGCCTCACATCATGGGTTGGGACCGGTATACCAATAACCGGCGGAATGGAGCAGATGAAAGTCTCTCGAAGGTGGATAAACCACTTCCGGATCTGGAGTGGGATAAATGAATGCTGAAATGGTGGTTTCACCATTGCTTGAAATACTGTGCAACTTTTTGTAAAAATCTGTGCCTACGGTTGCTTAGCTCCATTTCTGGGTGTCCTACAATGTGTCGTGAACATGTATCTCTCCCTGGTATCTTTTGGAGAGCGTTCTAATTATCTGTATTCGGTTGAATTATGACGGACCACTTATGTTGCAATCCGGTTGTCTGCCATGAGCTTTCATTTGTTCCTTTAGGAGGCTTCTCAGAAACTGTTCGTTGATGATTCCGTCTTAATTTGCCAATTGATCCATATATATGGCGCAGATGAAAGCTCCAACCTTGTTTTCGTAGCTTCCCAAAGTACTCAAATAAAATGATCTTGTGCCCAGAAATTCCAATTTATAGATGGCTTCTTTAGCTACGGAATTGATGCATGGGCAGTGGTTGTGTGCAGTGCTCCTGGGGCGCCTCACTTGTCGGGTTGAAGAACCTGGACTGTAATTTCTATGGCGATGCATTCCTTGGGTTCCATGATATTATCATGAAGATACCTGAGAAGAGCAAAATCCTGTCTTGCGCACCGATAATAACTGGCCATGGTCGAATGCTAAAATACACAGGGATGAGGGTTGGTTTTAGTAGATACAATTACCATTGTCGTTCTGTTCCTTTGAGTGTGGCGTAATTTTGCCTCGTGCCTCCCGTTGCCATAGGCCATACGAGTACAAAGCCCAGAATGGTCCTTCCTATCTTTACAATGCAGTGCTCTTCCATTTTCTTTGAGGAGCCTCCATATGCCCACCAAAGAGATCACAAAAACGATACTTAGAACCACAAAACTGGTCATCACCCTGTTACCGCGGACAGTTTGTTGCGGGGTGTTTCCATTAATAAGACATGGAAAAGGCCGAGTTTTTCAGTTTCTCAGTTTTCTTTCTGCTATTAGGAAAACAAAAATGCCTTTCGGGTCAAGAAGGACGAGATCGCTAATGTAAATGAAGCAATGATATCGACTCACGTCATAGTGATACTCTTCGTATGATTCAAAGCTGCTCAGAATAACACTTGGCACAATTGCACATGAGTCAATGTACTTCAATTACTTTGGAAGCTGTAGGAATTGAGAAAGTCGGACATAGTAACACATTGTCATGCAATTCACCATCTCTCTTTCGGTGCCTTTGCACAAACCATTTACCCTCAGTCATAGTCACCGTCCAAAAGTCTTCCTACCACCTATTCAGAATCCGATTATTTCTCCAGGTACAAATATGTTTTTCTAACAACACCGCCGAATTCACGGGGGCATTGCCTTACCAAAGGGTGGAGATAAGACGAGTTCCCTTGATGTCCAGATTACTAGCACCCTGTTGAATTGCTCATATTTCGGTCAGGACAGAGAAAGGATGAATACAGACTCTGGCTCGGCCACGAACTGGTAGATGGAGTGAAGGTGGCTTGATATAATATCTAGATGCCCAAGTTGCATGTCCTTCAGGGCGGTCACTTTGGACCAAGACAACCGAAAATGGCTGAGCACCTTCAGTTAGTCTAGTCAGTCGAATGCAATGAAGAACAACTTAACCGGGTATCCAAATAAAAGATAACTCTCACTAGTTGTGCAGTTATATTCATCTGCATATTTCCACATCTTCCGAGAATTAACACCACTTCATTGGCCTCGTTGCTAACCTCAGCGGCAATACTCTTCTACCAATGATATTCTGGTGGCAGGTGGATGATATGACTTTAAGTTATTGAGGTTGCATGCTTTGGACTCAACAACCTCAGTATGCATTCTTTGGAATACATGAGAATTCGATCCTCACTCTGCTAGCTCCAGCACTCGATTTTTATGCAGCCTCTTGCAGCCCTCAAGGAAACTGCGCCAGACTAGTGCGTTTGGTGGGAAAGGCATGCTCATAATCATTTCCTCTGCTTCTTTAAGACACCCATTTTTGGCCAATAAATCAACCACACCGTGGTAATGATCCATCTCAGGTTCCACCTTGTAATAAGTTTTCATTAACTGGAACAATTCCAACCCTTCTCTTACTAACCCGCCATGCCTGCATGCAGTAAGCACTGCTGTAAAAGCAATACCATCAGGTTGAATACCCTCTGATTCCATCTCCCTAAACCTTTCTAACGCATTATTGGCATAACCATTCGCTCCAAGAGCAGATATCAGCACGGTCCAAGAGATGATATTTCTATCCGACATTTCGTCAAAAGTTTTGACTGTGCTCCCGATGCATCCACACTTCCCATACATGTCCATAAGAACATTGCACACAATCGCGTCACAGCAACTAAAATCCGTCTTTATCATCAGACCATGGACAGAACTCCCAGTAGCAAGGTTGTAAAGCTTACAGCATGCAACTAAAAGGCTAACAAAGGTGTACTTGTCTGGTCGAACTCCACACATGTGCATGTAACTGAAAAGCTCAAAAACTTCTCTGTAATTACCACTGCGAGCGCAGGCTTCAATTACTATATTCCAGGACACAACATCGGGCTCTTCAAGTGCAGAGAGCAACTTCAGCGTGTCATGGAACTGGCCAGTTTTGTTATATATTCCAGCAATGGCATTGCTAGAAACAACAGCAAGCCGTTCACCAGGAGCAGTTACAAAGGCCAAGGCGCCGGATATGAGTCCATTCTTGGCATATGAGGTAATTAGAGAGCTCTGGACATAGTCATTACATTCATAGCCCATTTTTGTAATCAAGCAATGAAGTTGCTGTAGCTCTGAAGCATATGATCCTTTGAGAACAGCAGAAAATGAGAACTCGTTTGGTTGGAACCCCAATCTAACCATCTCTTGCAGTAAATATAGTGAAGTAGATGAGCTTTTAGTTGCATACCCGGATATCAAAGCACTCCAAGACACCACATTCTTCTCACGAATTTCATTGAAACAATGATGCGCAGCTTCAAGATTTTCGAACTTAACGTAAAAGTCAACCAAAGCACTACCTATAAGAACATCAGACTGAAAAGCATTTCTAATGATCTTAGCATGCATAAACTCTCCATAAACTTGGACTTCAAATCCAGTACAAGCATTAACTGTACTTACAAAGGTGGCTTGGTTAGGCAATAGCCCGTCCATGGACATTCTACTAAAGAGTTCTAAAGCTACTTCAGGTTTTCCAGTCTTTGCCAAGGCCCCAATCATTATATTCCATGAAACAACATCTGGAACATGCAGCTCCTTGAACACTTTCTCCGCCAAACATACAAATTTGCATTTAACATACATATTGATTAACGAATTCAGAACAGAGGACACTGAAGAGAGTCCTTTTTTCATCACAAGACCATGTATCTGTTCTCCCAATACCAAGTCTTGTTCACATGAACACCCCGACAAGATGCCCATGAAGGTGCATTCAGACAAGGCAAAGTCTTCTCTCATAAGATCTCGGAATAAACAAGCACAATCTCTGGAATATCCATGATGCCCAAACAAAGTCAGCATGGAGTTCCAAGTCACCAAGCTCTTCGAAGGCATATCTTCAAAGACCCCAATGACATCATCCAAACAGCCATGCCTCCCGTACAAGTTCAACAAAGCAGTCCCCACAAAAGGGTCGGCATCAAGAAGCCCATTCTTCATCCCGATCCCATGCAGCTGAGCCCCGCAGCTCAAGCCCAACGCCTCGCAGGACAACACCCCAGCCAACGAGTGCTGGGTCAGGCCGAACCCGCGACCTCTCATCTCGGCGAAAACAGCCAGAGCCTCCTCGGCATCCCCCCATCGACCGCACGCGGCAATGACGGCATTGAACGACACCGCGTTCCTCTGGGGCATACTCTCGAACACCTCGCGGGCGGCGGACAGTTCGCCGAGACCCGCGTACAGTGAGACGACATTGTTGTAGAGGAAGGTGGGTTGTCTCGAATAGGGTCCCGCCGTGATGGCGAGCGCATGGAGGATCCTCGTCGCGTCGAGGGAACCGCTCCTCGAGCACGCACGGGCAAGGTCGAGGAGACGCTTGTGTTGGACAGAGACGCCATTGAAGCTCATGCGCGAGAACGAACGAGAGTTGTGTCACTACTGACTCGCGCTATTTGAGCAAAAGTTTGGGCTTTAAAATGTCGAATTTTATAAAAATATAGAAAAGATGATCAAGCCCATTGACTGTTCAACTACTTGTGGGGCTTGGGCCTGAAATTTTTCTCCCACCATCTTTTTTTTTTTTTCTTGTGTGTTTTTCCATTAATCAAAAGGGGCATAGCATAATCTCGATTAGTTAATAATTGAGGGAAACGATTTGTTTTTTCGAAACCGCTACGGCCGGAAAAGGGTCCGAGCACGACACTTGGAAAGATCGGCCCCCGGATTCGTTATATTAATTGTGACCGATGACGAACTGATCGTGCGGATGACAGGACGGGGATTAGGTGATAATCTTGATTGGGATTAGGATGAGCTTTGATGAATACAAAAATGATTATTGAGGAAATAAAAATAGGCCACCTTGATTTAAAAAAAAAACCCCCATTTGATGAGATCAACATAAAAATTTCAGAGTGCTTTTCAACACAATCATGCATTTGCGGGAAAATCTTTTTCTTTTTTTTTTTTCGCATCACCCTGTTGCAAAATTTCAATCATTTTAACAATTCGACTAATTTGGTATCTAATAGACAAAATCTACATATTAAAGAAAAGGGTGAAATCAGTCGAGGATTTTAGACACTTTGCAATTATTAAATCCTTAGAGAAAAAAATAAAAATAAAAGTGATGTCAATATGGTCGACCGACCAACTAAAAATTGTTGCTTTCAATTGTTCCAAACATAGGTCTCCACCATTTTCTCCATTGGCAGAGAGAGAGAGAGAGAGGGTGCTGATTTCAATACAGATCTCCTGCGCAATTTCAACAGTTTTCTCGTAAAATTCACTGTTCAATATTATTATATAATTCTAACAAAAATAATAATAATAAAAAATAAATCGAGATCAATTATGTCGGGCAAATACACAAAATTGCTTTTTTGTGCGAGCATATATTCCAACATCTCTTCCGATAGCCCAAAAATTTATTTCTTTATTCTTATTATTTTATTAAAAAATAAAATAAAAATAAAATCAGAAAGAATCCAAGAAGCTTGAAATTGACGTGACACATAAGTTACTTCCAACACACATAATTATTCAATTTTAAAAGTTCCTCTGTCTAAGGACAAAGATCACATGGATTTGGACGGATTCGTATCAATCTTAAGAAACACACATGTGATGTGGACCATGTAAACATACGCGCAAACAAACTCCTCAAATGGACCTATGGAAAGATTTCATAACTAGTTAACTAATCAAAATCCGACATTAGGGTTCGAAAAGTACAATTCGACTAAGCCGAGGGCGAAATTTCATGACAAAAACACAAAACCGACCCACTTGACTCCTCGGTAACTCGCCACGTAGAAGCTCGACGGGCGAACACGGGAGGCCAGGTACCATGTAACGGAATGGCTAGGGCAGAAGCCGAGCATGTATGGAACCGGACCTTTCGACCCGAGAGATAATGAAAGATACGGCGGGGGGAGTGCGACGAGAGCATATTCCTCGGCAGATCGGGAGAATTTTGTTCTTCCTCCTTTTTGCCTTTTGGTAGGCATCAACTTGGGGAGAAAAGGTTGGGGAGGGGGCGCACGTTGGGTTGGGGAATAACTTTTTTTGGTTTTGGGATCAAGTGGAGCAACTTGAAGGGGTGTGGAAAAGATCCGAAACCGGCCAATGTAACCTGTGAACGCTGCCTTTGGAGTCAATGCTGAAAATGACCAGCAGAGGATAACAGCTAAGCTTCGAGAGAGAGAGAGAGAGAGAGAAGTTGCCACGAAAGGACGGACTTGGCAATGGCGAAGTCTCTCGTGCAAGTCCAAAAACGGACGTTGCTCTCCGCCATCTCTTTAAGATAACGGCAATTTGCTGTCGCTAAAGAGGCCATTAAAGATAATGCGTGAGAGAGAGAGAGTGAGAGAGGATGCTTGAGGAGGGGATTGTGTAAGCAATGACCTCATTTGATTTGGTGCTTATTGGATTAGCTCGGAGATGTCGATTTGGGCGAGGACCCGCATGTGTCGGCCAGGCGCACGACACGTTCGGTACAGAATTCCGACATTCTCGAGTGCGAAAGTTTTCCCTGTCCTGGCCACCGTTGGTCGGGACTTCCGGCTCGTATCTAGGCGCGTAAAGTTTATGCCGTAGCCGATGGGTCTGGAATTTATCCACCTAAAATGAGCTATTAAAAAAGAATCGAAGTTGTGAAAAAACTTTACAATTGAATAAAGCAAAAAGATGTAGAGTTTAAACGTTTCGAAGATGCTCGAAATGTGAAAAGGTACATCCGTGGACAAATCCTATCCTAAGCTTTCTTGAATGATGTTAACTAAAGTCATGTCTTTCGGATCGAGTTTTTCTTCCTCGATTTGTACTTAAACAAATGCAAGCTTACCTTGTTCATATTCTGTGGATTTCGAATTATTATAGGTCCAATTGATTTCGAAAGGGGCGTCGAAGCGAATTCTCTGAAAACCCGAAGCGCTCATAGTCACGGTTGTTCTTCGTGCGAGGTTCCGCACGCCACCAAGCACGGCACCACCAGCCACCATTAGGCCAGAGGCGAGGGCCGGCGAGCTCGACCTCGCCAACCACCGGTGAGTGCGAGCCTCGCCTAGGGACGGCGAGGTTCGGCACCACCCGCCTAACGATGAATGTAACCGAATTCCTTTTCATATGTAGAGTTTTCAACCTTTGCTTTAACCGCGCGGGTTCCCCCAATCGCATGTGCATTGGAAGTGCCTTGTTCACACAAACAGAAAGGGGAAGAAGAAGGAAGGAAAAAAGTAAGACAAAAAGTTAACCCTTCTGAGCTGCTGGGGGAGAGAGGGCTTCGTTTTCAACGAGCGGGGGACGTGGTTTGATTGGCTCCACAGCACGCACGCACGCGTGCTCAATTATGCAAAAAGATGGTTGCAATCGTACCCACTCAATTTGATGTTGATCGCATGAACACGTGCATCCTCAACCTTTCCCATTTATCTATTCATTCATCATAATAAATACATTTATATTGTATTATATTGTATTATATTATACATTTTTTTTTTTTGGATTTTCCGATGTGATAAAGTCAGTAAAATAAGTTGAGATTCCTGGCTGGGAAAATTCCAGCTACAAGGACAACGAGTAAAGCCTAAACATTTGGCTTTTGCAGTTTATGTAATGGTTGTAGCCTCTGCCTCTCTCTCTCTCTCTCTCTCTCTCTCTCTCTCTCTCTCTCTCTCTCTCTCTTTCTCTAGCTAGGGTTGGCTGAAAAAGGCCCTCTTTTGTATGGATTGAATCAAGCTCCCCACATGGTGAGGCTTTATTATCCATAAAGGGAGCAAGTGCCCCTTTCTCTCTCTCTTTTTGCTTTTTTATGTTTTTTGCCCTTAATAAGTTATTGGACAAATTACTTGTGGAATTTATTGAATCTTGACCAAATTATGATGACCCCCCTTGTAGTTTTGGAAAGATCACATGGAGAGAGAAGCTAGTCCTTCAATTTGGAGTGTTTGGAGAATGGCATGGCTTTGTTATGTTTCTTTGACATTCCTTTTTATAGTAAAGAATAGTTGTCTATTGAATCGCGTATAGGAACAAGAAAGACATCCTTGTGTCTCGGTTCTATCATAAATCACGTTAGATAATGTCGCTCAAATGGTGATGGCCGTGACACAGGCGGCTGAGCGGGTGGTAACGTGTCGGCAGCTAAGGCGATAGATGGTGGTGGTCGGTGTTTTGTTGGGGGTGGGAGAGATTGAGAGTTTTATATATAGAGGGATCGGGATTTTCAGTCTACTGATATGAATGGAAGTGAATTTCGCATTATTGGATCAAAGAAAAAAAATCTTACATAGTCAATTTATCCACCATCTAAAATTAAAAGATATTGAAGAAACTCTGGCCCTGGATGCACAATTTTGTTCGAAGAAAGCCAGTTTGCTTTATCAGACAAACTCTCTTTTTTTTTTGTTTTTTTTTTTCGTTAAGCATACCTTGAAAGACGGATGATACCCTTTTCTTCTCCGACCGCCTAACGCTAGATATACAAACTATATTTAGCAAACAACGACGGATCATTTCTTTTCATCACAACGGAGTTTAGCCACCAATTTATTACCCACTTGATCCGAGATGCCAATTTCGTCGTCAAACATTGCGCATCAATAATAGTACATCTATGCATTGCACTTTCTATTATTTCCCTCTTTTCGGTCAAGAAAGGTTAGCGGCTATGTTCAATGAAGTGTGTGCATTATTGAAAAGTAGGCAAACTTTGGGGGGGATTGGGGTGGCGAGATAGAACATAGAATCGCCACGAGCAGCAAAACAGTAAATGCCTCAATATTCAATGCATTCGATTTCAAAAGAGAGACAGCAATCCCAATTTTTCAGTCATCTCTTTGGTTTTGCCCTAGCTGGCCAAAACAAGCAACAAGAACGATTTGAACAGTTTAACACTTGCGCTCAGAACAGAAGCATCAGAGAGGGAAAGGAGGGAGGGAGGGGGGGCGGGCATTGAATGCCTCGGATCGCGAGCTCTGTTCGGTGGCTTTCACGTTTTACACAATCTCGCGAAGCACGCAGACGACGGAGCGGACAGGCAAGACGGTTTAGCCTCTGCCCATTTTCGTCCTCTTCTAGGATTCAATCCCACCCACCATCTCTCTCATCTCTCTCTCTGTCTCTCTCTGTCTGATGTCTGTCTCTCTCTGATGTGGACGATGTGTCTGAACACGAACCACCAAATGGGTGCGACAAGGTTTCGGCTTTGCGAGGGGACTCGTGCTGGAGAGAAACCGAACTGAAGCGTCGTGAAATGCGTTGCCCGCAGAAACAAATAAACGTGTCTAGAGCAGCACCGGCCAAAAAGATTGGATTTTTACGTCTTAACTTTCTAAAATTTCGAAATTTTAAGGGACATGTGCACTAAAAGTCCTAAAACTTATCACAAAAGTACAATTGAGTCCTAAAATTTTCAAAAAGTGCAAACAAGTCCTAAAACTTGTCACGAAAGTGCACTTGAGTCCTAAAACTTTCAAAAAGTGCAAATAAGTCCTAAAACTTGTCACGAAAGTGCAAACAAATCCTAAAACTTATCA